AAGTTTCTTCTTGCTCACATGCAACTTAATCAAATTCAGCCTAAGTTTGACCATCTTTCTTAAGTCAGTAATTATGATGCCAATCACAAACCGTCATTGCTGCTTTGACGCACAAGATTTGAAAGCCTTTAAAGTGGACCTAAAGTACAAAAAGTGATGCTTTGCCATGTTATAGTGAACATTTCGAAGTGGTATTAGTGCCTAAGCAGTACTCTGAAAAATTTGCCTTTTGTATTGAATTTTTCCTCAAAATAGCTGTGCATTTCCTGGTCCTTCCACATAGTTGTATATCTGCAATGTAACTCTCAAGCACTGACTCCTATTCTCAGGAGATCTGAACTGAGATTGGTGATGTCACTGCTCACAGTTATTCTTGCTGGAGGCTCCAACATGAGGAAGCACATCTCTGCCTCTACTCAGTTGTCTGCCTCAATACAGAGTAACAATGGAGAAGAATCCATGGAATATCAAATTATGGGGACAGATCAGCTGCATTGAGACTACAAACAATTCTGGTAACTACTCCTTTTGCCTCTGCCTGATTTTTAATGTGGGCACAGCTACCAGAGTTCAGTTCCTCTTTAACATGATGATGTTTTTAAAACTTTTTTAACAAAGCTCCATGAAGCCTAATGGACATAGTTCTACCTTAAGCTAAGATTTTCCAGCTTTTTCCTAATTTAACATACCACTCCCCTCCTTCATTCACCACTACACTGCAGGCCACTGCATACTATGCTTAGATCAATCAGGGAGTTTGTTGGTAGTATACACTGCATCAGGACACAAATGCAGTGGAAAAAATTCCAGATAACTAAATATTAAGTACTGGTAATTGTCACAATCAGGTTAGCATGATTTATAAAGTAGATTCAATGCACGCTTGGTCAGAAAAGATGCAAATGCTCTGTGTAGAAGCTTGCTATTTAAAATGTCGTAAAATAGATCATAAATCATTCATACGTCATCAATGATGTATGGCGGAATAATACTTCTGTCATACATTTTCTTCACACTGTCAATTGTATATACAGTATTGACTCATGTATTTACTCATTCAGGGCTGTTCACCCAGTTTGTATGTAGAGCAGATGCCCTCTGACAGGACCTTATGGAGGCGTTGCATAAAAGCACATATGAATATTAGTCTGGAGGATTTAACGAGTGCTCAAATTCGCAGTTTTCAGAAGCGACTGATGGCAGCATGAATATTTTTATTTTACTTCCAATTTTTGCAAATGTCTGAAATACTGGACAGGTACTAACAGCTATTGACGAGTTCCTTTCTCCCAGTGATGAATTAGCATCCACAGGCACATGTCTAATGAGTAATAGGAATGAACCGCTTAGGCTGGACAATCAATGTTTTTAGTTAGAAGAGAGATTCATGTAATCCTATTCAGCCCATCAGTTTAACAAGATATGTGTCTGGTTTCAGAGAGATACATTATTGTTTACTTTCAAGGTAGAAGAGAAGACCTTTTTAGTGTATTTAGGGTAGATGTAAACACAACAGCAATAGGTTTTAGCTAATTCACAATAAATGTAAGATCACATTAGGGAGAATTAAATAGAAAAAGTATTGATGTGAAGTGCACCATAACAATCAACTACAAGTACTCCTGAAAATGCCCTGCATCGGCCCCGATACCAGTACTAGCATCGGTATCGGGACATCCCTAAACCACACCATAACAAAATCGACCACACATAAGATTTTATTCATGTGATCACTCAAACCTGTTGAAACATGGTTTGTGTTTGGTTGCCATAAGGACAACTGCACCTTTGTTTTGAAAATCAATATTTCAAGCACACTAGCACACTTATGAAATCAGCAATATAAATGCTATACCTTTTTTTCCACATAAACTAAGATTTTGCCATGGTCCACCCAACTTAACTCTGTTGCAAAAATCAACCAAAACGGTGGCTGCTTTCATCAATCACTAACTGACTGACCATCCAGGTGGGTAAAGAAGCTGCAGGTGCCACTCTTTGAGCCTGCAGGAGTGGGGATGGTTAACATGTGACTAAATCCTCTCAGTATGTCCATTAACCGCTTTGTGACGTGAGACGTACATTGTATGTCCAGTCACCAAGTGCCCAAAGGACTACTCCTGTACACTGTACGTGATCAGCTATTTGGGGCTCTGTAATGAAAGAGTTAAGCTTTTTCAGACACCTGATCCCTTTCAGGAATCGGGTGTCTGACAGTGAGAGCAGAGCCGCATTTGCAGCTCTAGCCGTCACTGACAGCTGGTATAGATCAGCTTTTTTTTGTAAACTTTCAGCAATAGAAACATTTAGACACATGTTTCTATTACTGAAAGAATGTTTCAGTTTTCTGATCGTTGTTGAATTGATCAGAAAACTTTTAGTGACATCTGATCCTGAAATGCTGCAGGATCAGTGTCACTAAGGTTATTATTGGCTGTTCTGAAGTTTGAAGCAGCCTAATAATAACCAAAAAAATTATTAAATTATTAAGCAGTAATAGTGAGATTAATTCACAATGACTGCTTGATATAATAAAATAAAAATGTAAAAAAAAAATAGAAAAACAGAGAAAAGTGTGGGAAATAAAAATGTAAATCAATTTAAAGTGAAAAAAATGTAACAAATAAAAAATGATATATTTAAATATATTTTTATACTATCATTAATATATGGAAGTAGCCTGGAAGTAGCTAAAAACTATTAACCCTAAAGCTGCTGTGAAAGGAAAATTTCTATATTCCTATATACACAGCGCTAAAAAGGTGAGTGAAATAACACTGGATATGAATGAGAATATAACTAAATCCTCATATTTTGAATCCGTGAACAATAAACCGTGAGAGATATAAATATTAACGAACAACCATGAACGTGATAAACGAAATAAAATATAGTGAAAAACAAACTTGAATATACAATAAAAGGTGAATTAAACCATGAAATTAGGTTCTAAATGATCCAAAAATTGTTGTGCAAAAAATATGTGCATGGACCTTTGCAAACACTCTGACGATAATTATACAAAAAAGGAGTCAAAGTCCCAATGCAAAAAGTGATGGTAACCAAGTGATGAATAAATCAGAAAGTAACAAATTGTGATAAGCAAATATAAACATTACCAAATCTGCAGCTGAGCTGTAGATTTGTTTTTCCCCCTAGGGGGTTAATTTTTTTTATTTAACCCCCTCATGACAGTGATGTTCAAAGTATGTCGCCGTCACTAAGTGACATTGTATGCCAGGTGACCACTTTAGTTTTAGCTTTTATAGAAAAAAAAAAGAATAAAATGTTAGGTTTTAGTTTTAGGCTGAGTACAGAAAAATGTCTAAAAAACTAGGGAGGTGAGGTTTTTCAAAATAAATTAATGTATTTAATGGATTCTTTTTTTTTTTTTTTTTTTTTAGCGTTGCTATTGTTCTAAAAAAATACTACAAAAACAAAAACTGGAGAAAACGTGTTTAAGTTTTTTCCTTTTTTATATATATATTTAATTTGTCCTAAGTGAGGCGTTAGGCACACATATGTGATATAAATATATAGCCCGAGCTGTCCTCTAAATACCAATATATAACATGTGTGGGTGCACTTTGTAAGAAAGTATATTGCTGACGTGAAAGAATCACACAGCATAGATGTCAAAAGTGTGTCAGTCATTTACGAACAGAAACTAAAAACAAGTCATGAAGGGTTAATCGGCTAAAAAGTTGGCAGAATAAACAGAGGGAGAACGGGCAGGAGTGAGTTTTCTCAGGTGCATTGAATGCACCTGAGGAACATAGTGCTTACCTGTGTACTCGTTCATTCACAGAAGCCTGGATGATCAGTAAGTGATGATGCAAGTTGCCAACATTTTGTCATTGCAGCAACAGAGTTAAGTTAGGGCCTGTGCCAATGGGCTTTGGGCTAAAGTTGATGGTATCAATTGGACATCTGAAGACACTTTCGGCATCATTCAAAATTCACTAACCAATACAGGCCTGCAGACCATGGCAAGATTTTAGTTTTTGTGGGGAAAAGGTGTATCATTTTTAATCGCTGATTAATAAAATAGGCCAGGCTCATCAAAATATCGGTGCAGTTGCCCTTTAAAAAATAGCCAATGATATCATGATGCAGAGTGACTTGTGCCAATCACCTCATTTGCAGAACTTCTTTCAAATGAGGTCAAAGGAAACGTGTTGCAAGACAAACACAGAAAACTGCTATTGACAACTGTCTAGATATCATGCTAGTCCTTGTTTCCATACTTTGGGCTATTAACCAGGAACAAGCGAGGACTCCCGACATTACTTAAACCGCATCATTTATTCACAGTATTGAAATCAGAGGGTCAGCATAAATGAAAGGCAACAAACATTTCAGAAGAAGGTGAACAACAGCCCCAGGTTTCTTATATAACAAGGTTATTATGATTTGCTTAGTGGCATGAGAATGATGTGAATATACATCCAAATACTACATGAACTACAGATTCAAACCTGCCTATGGTGTCACCTCCCTGGCCCAGCTGTTAAAAATGGGCAATGAAGGAGCAGCAGCTGCCCAATGGCCCCATTTTCTGTAAAAGCTGACCATACATTTTTTTTTCTTTCACTCAGCACGGTGGCTGAACAAAGGAAATCTAACAGATTCTTTCATCCACGCCAAACAGCATGGTTGGACAAATCTTCCCTACTGGGCTGCAGTATTCTGACCGTCGCCCACAACTCTCCAAATACACTCACAATGGCTGCAGTCATTGTTTGGACCCCAAAAAAAAAAAAAACGTTTCCACCCGGATTATTCTACAAAAGTTGAACTTCTGCCGACTTGGTCGAATTGGAGCTTTGTACAACCAACTTAAAAGCGACACAAAACCCTCAGCTTTTTTCTCCTTATACACATCTACACAATTAAACACATTTAAGTTTTAAAATAAAGTCTTACCATTTTAATCTGTTAAGAAAGTCTGCAGTGCTCACTTCCGTTGCTCTTCTCTCCACTCACACTTTGTCACTTAGTAAGAGCCATGCACATTGATTCTGGTCACCTGCACATCTTTCTTTGCCTACAACTCCCATGAGGCAGAGAGGAATCATCTCTCACTGCACACCGCTGCCTCCTCCCTGTTCCCCTCACTACACACAACTACTTTACAACAAACAATCACATTTACAACAAACATCAATTCACCACAATCTACACAGAAAAAAAAATGTTTTTCAAATGTAGGAGCCGTATCCTCTGTGACTGAGTCCAGACTCGGCATGTGATCTGAGACTCAGAAGAGTGTATGGGGCTGGTGACATGCTGAATCTCCTCACAAGCAGCTCACCCCACACTCCCTGAGTGGCAAGCCCGGAGGAGGCAAAATTACAGAACATATATTAGTGTGGGAGAGAAACATAGCCTGCTGCTGAAGAAATCCCAGCTCCTTGAAGAGTCTAGGAGGGGAGGATTTGTGGGCGGAGACTGAGAAGACACGCCCTCCGCATGTTGTAGTACTTCACATGAACCAGCACAGAGGGTGGCTACTTTTCAGCACACATAGGGACCATGGAGAAGAAAAGTAGCCACCCTCTGGCAGGAAGGTGTGGATGGAGAACAATAAAATGGATTTTGGAGCATTTAGAGCTGAATAATGACAAAGAAAAAAAAGGTACACAGTCATTTATTTAATAGAAGTTATTTAAATACTATATATTTTTTTTTTACCATTACCTTTTCTTTTATATTGGCTTTTCAAAATGGCAAACACTATAATTAAGAGATATGATAAAGGTTTAAGTGCAGAAAAACACTTTTGGTAGTAAAATAGCACAGTTCCATAGATATCTGTAAATCAGACCACAAAGTGGGAAAGGACAGAGGGATTTGGATGCAAATGAGGGACAGTTGGGAGGTATGCAAGTTGTATGGATTATGGATTTACGCAAGTTGCTCACAGGAAAAAAAAAAAGTTTGCCTTTAATCCTAAATGAATCTGTGTGTCTGGCAGTTATCAAGAGAAATGTATATTTCAAGGAGCAAGAATGTAAAGTTCTCTGTAAAGTGGAAAATGTCAGGGATATTTATATTCATGTAAAAACACTTTCTGCAGTGCTTTACAAATCTTCACATCCAAGATTCAGCAAAATGCCCAACACACACTCAAACAAAAGTGAGAAAACTCTGCCTAGCAATTTAGTATGTAGGACTTCAATGTGTCTGCTATTATGAACAGTGACAACAGTTACATGCATTGGAAAAGAAGCAATCAGCTCACATTCATCCACAAAGTGTATGTGAAATGATGCTATATGAAAACATGTCAGGAAACATGGATGCAATAAAGTGCTGGCTCTGCAGAAAGAACAAGCTTGTAATGATCAGTACACTAAACTAGTCATCACAGAGTACTATAAATACAAAGTAAAGAATCACGGCTGACATGCTGCAAGAAGCCACTACACACATGAATCAAACTACTAAATGTACAGGTTAAAGCAGATGAATACAAATGTGCTGAGTATATTCCATAAACTGAGGCCCTTACAGATCTAAACCCCATCACTAAAAGCTCATATAAACATGTTAATATAAATTTCAAATGTTAATTTTCAATCTGCAGCTTTCATTAAAACCATTGTTGGCGAATCTGCCAGGAAGCTCCTTGTTCATGCAATTATAGATATTACAAAATTCCCAAAAACACATGGCTGGGGGGCGGGCTTCCGATCACTGCAAACGGGGAGTGTGCGTGTGCGCACACCAGCCGTTCGGCAGTTGTCGAACCAGCAGTTGTCGAACCAGCCGTTCGGCAGTTGTCGAACCAGCAAGCCTGCTTGTTCGACGGAAACGGTCGCACACCTTCCATACACTGCACGATTCTCGTACGAGAATCGTACAGTGTATGGGCACCTTAAGGTGGACTTGCATCTCTGAACCTGATATGAAGACTGGATGAAGGTATATTATATTGACATCGACTCGGACTTCAAATCTCATAAGATTAGCAGTAAAAGATAGCAATGCCTCTCACACCGCATATATACCGCTATATAAGACAGGGGTACATTTACAGGGTGCTGCTTTGGCTCATTAAACATTTCTAAAAAATTTCCTACAAGATACCAAATCTTTACTTTTTCAGCTCAGGTTCAGTTTAAATTGTGAAAACGTTCAAGCATATGTATGACACAACCATTTCTAAAGTCTCAGAAGACAGATTTGCCAAGTAAATATCTAAAGCCATCACTTTTGGCTGTATGTAGACCTGCTGCCCTAGCCCAAACATGCCTACGTACAGTATCGCCTGGTCACATGGACCTTTTTCAGTCACCCCAACCAGGATTTGTCCTTTCCCGATACATACACAAATTAACTTTGTGTAACGCAACTAAGTAGTTCAGCTTCCGATTCACATATTATGAACACTCCCTGAATGTTCACAAAAAAGCATGCATTTTTCAATAATTGAACCGAACCGTTTGTTTACAAGGCTTTAATGCTTCTATCATCGTAATGATGATGATCATGATGATGTCCCTGAATTCTACAGAAAACCATGACTCATAAGGGACAATAAATCCTCCCCCTTTGAACAGCGTCAAAGCAAATGAAAAGGATCAACAAAGAAGCAAAAGTCCTTATCACAAATGGTAAACATAAGAATACACTTTCTCTCTGCACACAATAAAGTACATCAGTAATTAACCAAGCAAAGTTAACCGTATGATCCATCAACCAAGACAACAGTTGCATAGCACACTAGCAACATTCCCAATCAACTGCTCTTTTTTTAAAAAAAACAATAACAGGGTTTTATCTGCTGACCAGTGCCCAGTACAAATAGAGAGGTAGGTTCACACTAATGGAGACCCATCAGAGAGAGACAGAGAGACAGAGACAGAGAGACAGACAGACAGAGAGAGACAGAGAGA